TATTGGGGAGCCAGAGATGGGATTGAGCCAGGAGGGAGGGAGGAAAAACAAGTTATAAAAAAGCTGGATTCGGATACAAGTTTTTCATTGTCTCCACTTAGAAATGTGGTACTCCACCAGATAATCAAAACTCCTCTTTATATCCAACGATCTGATGGCGGCTACATCCTTACTTGGTGAAAATGCAACTCTTTCTACCTGTAAGGGATTAACACAGCTGCAGGAGACCATACTTTGATATTTTGAATCAAAGAGTTCCTAAATTTATTGTTGCCGACTTATCAATAGAAAGTGATGTATTTATTTATTCTAGAAATTGTTCCAAATTCGAGTAATTTCTTTTCTTTTAGACAAAAGCGGGAAGGTTGATCATCAATTGGTCAGGGAGTCTGCCAAAATGCTCTATGGACTGATTCATGCTCGTTACATTTTAACAGATGAAGGTGTCCTGGCTATGCTTGATAAATGGCACGAACAGGAGTTCGGCGTTTGTCCACGTTTCCACTGTGAAAAACAACCTGTGCTACCTATCGGTAAAAGATATTTCAAATTTTTCACAACTTCACTTATTTTCACTAAATGCTGGGAATTTTGGAGCAAAACTGTCTCTGCTTATCTTGAAGCTCGTGCTATCCAGCTACTTGATTAAGGTCTTTCGGATGCACCGGGTGAATCAACAGTGAAAGTGTATTGCCCTCGTTGTCAAGATATTTATGTGCCAAAATCAAGCAAACATCAAAATATCGATGGCGCTTATTTCGGGACCGGATTCCCGCACAACCTTTTCCTCGCACATCCCAAAGAACGACCGTTAGCACCTCGAGGTACTTCTTTTCGATAGTATTTCTCGTGGTGTTACGTGGGCAATCGAAGCTCAGGGCAAGGAAAACGAGCTATGACGAAACTGTAAATGTCCTGGCTTCAAGGATGATTTCGAACATAAAAATTAACAAGTGTCTGAGCCGCTCACATAGCATTATCACTAAAATGGGTTAGCTGCAGTGGAGTATTTGACTGGGTAAAAGTTTCAGCTTTTCAGTGAGCACTTTCAGTCAAGAGCCCTTATTGCAAATCACTTGAGCCTCAAATTTGGGTTATTCAGCCTGATATAAGCAAAACACCAATAGCTAGGTAAAACAGCATCTTGTTCCTGCAGTAATTATTTGGACGCAACGACGACTGTCAGAGTCTCAAAGTGGGGCTGATGAATGTTTGCATATGTACGCGTGATTTGAAACTGAAAGCGAGAATTTGAGATAAATATTAGTGCTGGCAAGTATTTTATCATTCGGAAGAGCTTGTTACGGACTAACCCAAAATGAAGCCTATCTCTTAGCGCAGAGTTGGGAAGCTTTAATGATAACAATTTCAAATAACTACTTTTTTCCCCAATCACATTCTGTGTATTTCAGTTCCTTCTTATGCTCAGAAAGAACGCCGCAAGCAAGAAGAAAGCGTGATCCTAGCGAACAAAACTACCACTTAATTTTCTGCCAGCTACAATGCAGTGAGACACCTCGCCCCCAGTAATAATATCTCAAGAGAAAATTTACGTTTTTTTTGGTTTAAGTTTATAAATACTCCATTCAGTGTTGCTGTGCTCGATTATTATGTTGAATTTTACTCCGCTCCCTTTTGCTGCACTCTGCCCATGTATTACCTGATACTGTGGAAGATGCCACTGTAGCCGCATAATCAAAACTAAAAGTTGTATCTCCTCCATTTCACACATTCTTTATAAGAAACAGAGCTCTGAGAGGTGTTTTGAAGGTAGCAAATGCCATCAGCAACCACTCGATGGTAAAACTGTCGCGAGTGTTCCCTCATTCAGCGGTTCTTCAAATGTATGTTGATGGTGGGCCTGACCACCTGATATATGCCAGCAACACTGTAACACATAAAGAAATCGATCTTTCCAAGTTGAATTCATTTTGTACCGACTTATTCACTCACTCTTGTACCGACTTGTACCGTCTTGTACCTCGTGTTTGACTTGCTCACCGACTTGTACTCACTCACCGACTTGTACAGACTTGTTGTTATTTTTGTTTTTCGCTTTGATCTCGTATCCTGCATTGTTCAGGATTGTCACCCTTTTTGTTTCGAGAATACTTTAAATTAATGCTTCCAAGATAAGTTTCGCATCCATGCAGGCTCTTGCTTCACTGAGAATCAGCAGAAAGTAAGGATGTATCAATTTTTAGCGCACTGTTTGAACTACTACTTACCGTATGCATAAGCAAATGGAAAGTGCG